AAAGGCCTCTCTAGTTCTCCCCTCTCTTAGAACAGTTTTCTTGTAGGCAGAAATGACCTCACTTAGTGCCGTGTTCTTGGTGCCTGATTCACACTAACCACTCAATACTGCATAAGTAAGTTTATCTAGCTTCATCCAGGGAGTGATCAGACCCTGCTCTGGGACACCACAAGTATAAATCTCATTATACCTACTAAGCTTTGGATGGCTTTTCCTTTTTAATCTATGATCAGAGTGCTCAACAACTAGCATACTTTTAGACCACTTGGAAGAGTAGAGCCAGGATCCTTCACCTCTACCCTACCTGAGATGCAAGGTGCAGCTATTCGATTATTCCTCTATCAGTACATGACCTTGATACAGGCACGAACAAATCTAAATGACATGGCCATATAAGACACCATATATTTGGGGCACACACCTGTTAGCTCTCCCAGGGTTCAATTAAATATATCAAGAGACCACAAGAGGAAAATAAGACCACTGAATAATACTTCCAGAGACAAATATACCCAGATGGGGGGTGTGAGGAGGTCACACTGTTGTTTCCACCTCGTCCTGTAGTGATCATGATGCAATGTGGGCTACAGAGGTGTGGCTGGGGAGGTGACAGAGGCTGGCTAGGAGGTGACAGAGGCGTGGCTGGGGAGGTGACAGAGGCATGGCTGGGAAGGTGTGCTGGAGCACCCTGTCAGAAGAGGAGGACAGTGTGGGCAGCGCTGTGGTGGGGGTACTAGACTTCAGCATGGTCAAATATTTATTTTGTGATCAAACTTTACGAAATGTTACCAGGTCTGGGATTTGCTTCATGGCCACCAAGGGGAAAGAAGGACAGCAATGACAATTTAGATGAAACAAATTGACAGGTGTTGAAATTGGATGTCAGGACTTATTACAGTACCCTTTCTCCTTTTGTTTACATTGCTGTTGTGTTGAGCAGTGTCGAGTCAGAAAAGCTGACCCTCCAGTGGATTTTCAGAGGCAGTCACTGGAGGAGACTGCTCATCCTTCCCTGCAGGAGCAGCTGGAGGCCTCGAACTGCATGCCTTCGGGATTGCAGTGCAGCTACCTGCCACTAGGCCACCAGAGACAATAATAAAAAACCCTTACTGTTCTGAGCTTAACTTGGGCTTTGATAAGAGCTATTTTTAAGATTCCAGGCTGATGTCTCCCCCATTATAAAGAACTAAGTAGCAGTAAGAGGAGGACAAAACCAGACCAGTGTGCTGAACGTACTGGAGAGAGATCGACGGCTGACAACATTTCATGGGCAATGTGAAAGTGCAAATCAGCAAACAAACAAGAGAGGAAAGGCAGAAGTTAAGAGGAATGTTTAAAAAAAAGTAATGCCTTTAAAAATAAAAAAGTAACAGAACAGTATTACAGAAGAATAGTTACAACTTCACAGCAAGTGTGGAAGCAGAAAAGGAAAGTGCATGAACTACTTTTATTTTTGTATGATGTCTTCCAGTCATTTTGATCCATATTATTTTTAAGTACTTAGACTTCACTTCTCTCCAAACTGAAGAGCAATGTTATCAGTTTGAAGACTAAAGTGTGCCTGATTCAGGCCATGGTCTTTCAGTTACTTGCTATGCATCTGAGAGCTGGACAATGAAATTAAGGCAACAGAATGAGAATTGATGCCTTTGAGCTGTGGTGCTAGAGAAGAGTATCGAATATTCCATGGAATGCCAAAAAAACAGATAAGTTTTGGAAAAAGCGCAGCCAGGGTGCTTCTTGAAGGCAAATACAGCAAAGCTTCTCTTATACTTTGGACATACTGCAAACAGAGGCTATTCCTGAGAGAGAGGCATCTGGCCTGGAAAGGCAGAGGGTCAGTGGAAGTCAGGAAACCCCCCACCCCCACCCCGTGAGCTGTATTAACCCAGTGACTGCAGCCGTGCACTCAAGCATGTCAGAGACGGTGAGGATGGCACAGGATAGGAAAGTGTTCAGGTCTGTTGTTCACAGGGTTACCATGAGTCGTTGACAGCAACTAACAACAACAAAAAACATTCCTCATTTTACAGATAATTTTTCATTGCTGCATAAAATGCTGTCCAAGGTGATTTATCACAATTTTACCGGCTAGTTTCTGAATTATGCCAATGCCTTTACCACAAGAACTCAAAAAAATACATACAATATACCACTGTTGCATCAATCTCGACTTGGGGTGACTCTATTGGAAGACTGACTTGTCCTTTTCCCGAGGAGGAGCTGGTGGGTTTGAAACACCAACCTTTTAGTTACAGCCCAACATTAATCCTACTATACACAAGCTGGGGATAATGCCACACCTCTGTTCTAAGGAGCCATCTCCCTGGAAGCACTTTTGAAGCCCATGATGAAGACGGCCTGAGGCACTTACATTAACAGCCAGCATATCGTTTTCGAAGGCCTCTCGGAGCTTCTTCATAATCTCGATCTCGGCGTTGGCACAGGCCTCCACTGTGCCCTTCACAGTGATGGTTCTTTCAGGATTGTAGATGCTCAAGTCCTGCAAGCTGGCCAGTGGAGCAGAGAGACATCACAAAATAAGGAAAAAGAAAACTCCAGAATGATCACGCCATGGTGGAGGGGTAAGGTACAAGTCTATACTCTCTCCAAACATGCTGTAGAAGATTTATCCCCAGTCTTATTTGAAGTTGTGTTACTTATTTGGATTATATTCACACTGAGAAATGTCTCACTGGTAAATACATATGTATCTATTCCCAACAGTGAAGGAAATAACTACACTACTCCTGATTATGTTGCCATTTTAGGGAAAAAACAGACTAAGGAGTTGTATATACTGAAATGGTAACACTCTCCACTGTCTGGCATCAGTACTCTGAATGTGTTGCTTACGATGAAATTGTTATCTTGGTCCCTGTCTCATGTTCAATTTTCTTCAAGTTTCTTCCTTCTTTTCCAATCAGTCTTCCAACCAAGCCATTGTGGGCCAAGATCTTCAGAGGAATCTCTTCGGCTCTGAAAAATCAAACACGTTTAACACTTAACGTAGCCAGAGTGGTTCTTCCCAAGAGCCTTTACCCTGCCTTATCTCTTGCTAATAGAAGTTCATGAATTTTGACTACAAGCCAACATTAGGGATTTTTCTCACTTGCCAAGGAGTAACAGGAAGTGAGCCCCCTGAGCTGACCAAGGAGGTAGGAGATGTCTGCTGAGTTGAAAAAGGGTGGTAAGTTCTCTTTAAAGTTCTGAATATTCTTGTGGGGAACATAATGTTGGAAATTCCTACAGCCGCTGTGTCATTACCAAGGAAGTATCAGGAAATTTGAGAACTGGAAAGTGAGAAAAATGCTGGGCCTTTGGGCCCAACATTCAAGTAACCCGAGAGCTACTCTACCTTAGGATAGGGCTTGCTGTGTGACATTTTCTCTTATTGCTTAGGCCCGGTGGTATTTTCTGCTGCCTGAGACCAAAGCACCTAACAGCCGTGTTATTATGGCCTTAGGACAGCCAGAATGCTCACAGATAGTCCACCAGAACATAAGTTCCAGGAGGGCAGCATTTGGTCTGCTGTTCACAGCTGAGATCCCAGCACCAAAACCAGTGTTCAGCACATAATTGGTGCTCAATAAACAGTTGATCAATGAATTAAAAGAAAATTAAGGCTTCCTAGCTCTCTCTTCTCCCATGTTCCCCACCTGGACCCTCAGGTCTTACTTAAATGCCATATACATAAGAAAGCCTTCCTCAAAACCCCCAAGTCTCCCTAAAACACACAAAAGTCAACCATAATATGCAGCTGGTGGACACTGCTTTTTTTAAAAAATCATTTTTTTAATTAATTTTAATGAAAATTCACAGAGACTTTGGATTTCCATTCATTCATTGTTGCTCTTTTCTCCCTGTCCACCCCCGCCCCAGTACACTCTTCTCTTTGAAGAGTAAAAGAAAAATTCCTTCATTGTTTTACAATCCTTCCCCCCAGGTCCACTCCACTATGCAGCCTTCGTTCTGGGCTCCTGTCATGACAATAATACCTAATCATATATACCTTTTAAACAGCTTTATCCCTCATCTGTTTCAATGCAGTATACATTTTTGAACCCATCTTTCTCAGTCTCCCCCAACCCTGATGTCAGTCCCATTTTACAACAGTGGCACTGTGCACTATTTGTCCTTTTGTGACCGAGATATTTCACTCAGCATAATGTCCTCCAGGGTCACCCATTTTGAATAATATTGCATGAGTTCCTTGTTTTTCAATGCAGTATAGTATTCCATTGTGTGAATATACCACAGGTTCTCTATCCATTCATTTGCTGATCTGTGACACTTTTTTAAAAAAATATTTATTTTATTATTATTTTTGTGTGTGTTCCGTAAAATCGGATCTGACTGGTACTGGAGGAGATTGTCCCTCCTTTCCTGGCAGAACATCTGGTGGATTCAAACTGTGCGCCTCTGGGATTGCAGTGCAGCTTCTTGCCACTAGGCCACCAGAGCTCCCCTGACACTACTTTTTTTTTTTACTGTGGCAGTTTTCACACTTGTGCTTAACTAGTTCGTCCTAACTTTCAGTGCTCAGCAGAGTGTGTATGGTCACTCAGAAAACTTGATTTCAGAGATATGCAAGCTTTCTACTGGCACTATATGCATGCTTAAAAATAAACTTATAAATCAGCCTTTTTGAGTACTTAGAATATTGCAAGCTATTTTTATAGCTAGGCAGGAGGACCTATTTTGATACTAATTAAAAAAATTCTTAAGAAGTTGAATAAAAGTGGGCTTCTTCAAGTTAAGTCATGGCATTTGGGAGGATTTTCAAAAGCCCCAAGTAGAGGATATCTTTTGTAAGTGAAAGGTCGGTGTTCTTTATGAGATCCGAGGATGTATGTACAATGTTTTTCTTTAAAGAACTATTTTCAGCTGACGTCAACTGAGCCTCAGTCCACTTTCACCATACTGTGCATTTTAAATAAAGCATGTATATTTGTATGTGAGATATAGATGTAGATAGTTTATAGCTATAGCTACAGATATAGATAGATATAGATGATATAGATATAGATATAGATACACTACCAAGCCAAAGGTGGGTGATTTTAATCTGCAGCCCTCAGGTCTGGTTCGAATTGGTCTTTTTGTCAGACATTCTTCTAGATGGTAGAGCACTGTTCTGTGCATTGCTGTACAGAGGTAACTCATGGTTGCTGTGATGCCAACCACTGTGACACTGATGTGACAAAAATGGTAATGGTTACCCATGGTGGACAGTGTTTGCTGGAGTTTCCCAACTAAAACAAGCCTGGAAGCAGAAGTGGCATCCACTTCTGAAATGGCTTGCCTCTGGAAACTCTATGAACAGTGCTCAGGCCTTTCATTCATAGGGTCGCTATGAGTCGTCTACAACTCGATGGCACCTAACAACACAACATACACACACACACACATACAATACATTCTTGGCTTTGGGATACTTTTATCTGACGTTCTTTATTAAATTAATTTTCTCTTTGATTCACCCCAGTTACTCTTCTACAAAACTCCCACCTCTGATCACCAACAGACTTTGTCAAACTGACAGAGTTTTTTCACTGTATTGTCAATTCTATTACCTTATTCTATTTCAATGCCATGTTTTTAATGCAAAGCCAACTGGTTTAATAAGAAGTGTATTTTGTGGTGACATTACTCATTACTCTGCAGAATCAGATTTCATAAAAGACAAGGAGAGAGGAAGAAGGGGGAAAATAAAGAAGTCAAGCAGTCACTTGGAAATTAGTGTCTACTACTTCAAGAAGCATCCCATGGACTGCCAAAAGAGCAAACAGGTATGTCTCAGAAACAGAGAACCAGAGCACTTCTTGGAGGCAAAGATGGCGACTCCACAGACTCGGGCATGTTGCTAGGAGAGGCCTTTCCTTACAGAAGGATATCATGCTTGGAAAGTTGGAAGTTGAACTAGAGGAAGACCCTCAGTGAGCTGGATTAACACAGAGACTACAGCAATGGGCTCGGGTGTGTCACGGATGATGAGGATGGCACAAGCCAGGCCAGGGCTCAGATCTGTTCCTGGGTTGCTGTGAATCGTACTCAACTCAATGGCTCCTAACTACAACAAATCACGGAAAGGTAACTGAATTTTCAAAGACAATATAGTTTCTACACCTGCACTGTCTATTATGGTAGCTATTAGCCACAGATGACTATTGTTGTTGCTGATTGCCATCGAGTCACGGTTGACTCACAGCAACTCTATGAACAAAAGACCTAATGCCCTTCCACAGCTATCTTTGTTTCTCCAAGTTCACAGAGTTTCCAGAGGCATGTGGTTTAGGAATTGGATTCCATTCCTGCTTCCCAACCTGTTTTACAACTTGGAGCTCCACCAAACACTGTTCGCGATGGGAAGCCATGCTGGTATTTGATATCCCCATGGCACAAGGTTCAGCATTATAGCAAACCTCATATAGCACATTGACAAAGAGTGACATGAAAAGTGAAAGAATGTTCCTCCAGATATAACTAGTTATGTTGACAGATGAAACCACCATTGAGATATAATATAGCTTAGTCTCATTTAGCAGTGGTTAAGTGTTGTCGAGTCGAATATGACTCAGAGTAAGCTTTTCACAAAAGACCTGAACTTTTTCTAGGATTCACATAAATTCTGTACATTTATAAGAGTGTCTGTGGAGCTTCCAGAGGCATCTAGTTAGAAAGTGGATGCCACTCCTGCTTCCCAACATGAATCAATCTGGAAGCTCATCCAACCACTGTATATAATGGGTAACCTTTATGGTATTTAACATGACTATGGGATAGTATTCAGCATCACAGCAATTCCAAGTTGTTCAGTACAGCAGATAGACAAATGATTGCTATGTCTTTTAAAGAATATCCAACTACAATTAATAAATAACCCTACAGGATTTTAAATCCACATCCTTGAGCAGGGCTCCTTATCTAAGGTTCAAGGCCACCTGCTTTTGGGGGGGGCAAGGAACACACAAGAAAAAGGACCCCAGAAATTTTCCTTGCCTGACTGCCATTCAGATGAAACCACCTGAAGGTTGGTGGTTCCGACACACCCAAGTAAAGCTTGGCAATTAGTTTCTGAAAAGTCTTGAAAGCCTGTGGAGCAGGCTACTCTGCATGCATGAGACTGACCCCACAGACGCTAACAACAACAACAACAACATTAAAGAAACTAAAAATGCGCTCCTCAGTTGTACCTGTCACATTTCAAGTGCTCCACAGTATAGACTGAGAATACTTCTATCCTGGCAGAAAGCTCTAAGGGACAGTATAGGTCAACACAGTCCTATCAGGACAACAACCTGCCGGAGTGTGAGGGTCACTAGGAAAGTGATCTGTCCGGTGAGGATGTGCTCTTCACACAAGGGCAAAACCAGCTCTCTAGACAAAGTCACACACAGGAAAGATCCCTTTTTTCCTACATGCTCCGTGGGTACAGTTATAGAACACAGTCCTTCCCCTATCCTCTTTGCTGCGCAATACATGTATGTCTTTCTGTTAGGTTAAACGAGTGAGAATCTGCTCTTCTTATTTACTGAGTTATCTGGGGCTTGCACCCACACTTACAGTTTGGTCTCATCAGCCTCTTTCTGCATGATTTCGAGAATCATGCGGCATGCTTCCGAGGTCCCCTCTGGGGTAGCATGGATGGTGACAGGCTTCTCGGCGGCACCAGAGTTCTCCTTTCTGTGGATGTCTACCCTGTAGGAGAAGAACCAGGACCTGTGAGCATGGCACTCTGAAGAAGGTTCTAATCCCAAGACAGGGAGGCACCCATCGAGTTAGAGCGAGGACAGAGAAAGACAAGAAGCGTTGCTAGCATGTTCTCAACCAGCGAGCCCATTCTCCAAGGAGACAGCAAGCAGTGCGGGAGTCTTGTGCCAAACTTTAATTCTCTGCAGCTCCTTTAGAAGAGAATGGTTCTTAAGGAATGCCGTGGGACAAAGGCACCAAGCCAACTTGGTAATGAAGCCAGTTTGGTAAATGAAGTATTTTGCGTGACCTTTCAAATGACTGTAGAAGCGAACGGTAAAGTGAGAAGGATAATACTGCGCCTTGGCCAAGCGCCAGCCTCCAAGCTGATTGTAGCTTTTGAAAGCACATGCGACTCCCAATCCAGGCCAACTTTACGTATCTGGGTGTGGCTAGGAAGCGAAGGCAGGTTCTCTTTCTGCCTCTCAAAGTTTCTGGTTTCCTCTCCACTGGCAGCCTGCCTTTCACCAGGCTCTTAAAACTAATGGCTCAAAAGCTTGATGACTTTATCAGGCTTCCTCGGGTAGCTGTGGCACTACTTGTTTTTGCTAGCTTTCAAAAGTGTATCATTGACTGTAACCCTTTTTATTTCTACTGTCGGAATGCCCAGAACCCAGGCTTGGGCTGAATTCTAAAAGAAAGTCATAGACTTTGAAAGGCAACCTCACTGGTATTTACATTTAAACTTGTATTTTTGTTTAAAGTACCCACAATTTCCCCCCATAATCAATCTTATTTAAGATACCATATATAAATAAAAACCACTTTCCCAGGGAACACCAAGCAAGTCACTTCTCCACTCTCTACTACGACACTGTCGTCACTTCATGCCTACAGTTATGAGCGCAGGTGTGGGACGCAGCCAGAGATCTGCCTGCTATTAGGGGCAACACAGACACTTTGAAGAAAGTACCACATTCCCTTTCAGGTTACAAGGCATTCAATGAACACCCCGAATGAAACAGAAGAGGCACAGGTAAATAACTAATAATTTGCTAGTAATGGGTACAGATGAAGTCCATCCATTTTTTTTAATTCAAACTGTCCAATTGAATTATCACAGTAATCTTGGCAAAACAGGTATCAAACATCCCCTCTTTTACAGAAGCAGCCCTGGTTGCTCAGAGAGGTTAAAACATTTTCCCAAGTTCATACAGCCATGAAGTAATAGAGTTTGAATTTAGGTCTGTGTTTTCAAATCCTATGTTTTCCTCATTATATGAGACTTATGATGGGCTTTTAAATATGCACAAATGATCAGTGCCACAGTCACTGTATCCACTGTAACTCCTTCTATTACTTCATTGTCCTTAAACGGAAGACCAGCGGACTCCAGCGAGCTCTTGTTCAATTTAACAGTGATTCACCTCTTTGATGTAGCTATTTGTGAGTCTCAAGAAATGCTGGTCTCAGGAAATGACTATCATCTTAGACTGTGACTTAGAAGAAAAGGTAAGAGGCACAGGATCCCATACCTTTGCTGTTTTAGAAACAGTGGGATCCATCCATTCACAATCAGTGAGTTGATGGGAACAATTCTTGATTGTGAGAGTATATAGAGTCTTAGATTTTCAGAGTATGATTACCGTTAGGCCATTACCAGGAAAGCTCACCAATGCCCAGCTTTACGTTAGTCTGTTAGTGCCGTTTACAGAAGCCACGGTCCCATACAGCTCAGCCCCCCTCTGCTAACACAAGCGACAGTGGTGGCTGAGACCCACCAGCACGAGGGGCACCCCTCAGAAGGAAGCAAAGGAAGCCCCGGAGGCACGTACCGGGACTGGGTCTGCTTAGTGATGTTCTTTATGGTCAAGCCCTCCTTTCCGATGATGGCACCAACAAACTGGGTGGGGACCAGGATCCGCAGCGGGAAATCAATCTGTCTGGCCTGAGAAGAGCCCCCAGGGGCGTGGCCTTGCTCCCGGGAAGAGTGGTCCCCACGCTGGGCTCGCTGAGGGGGCGAAGGGGAGCTCACCTCTTCATCCGGGATGTAGGATATCTTGAAGGAGTAGTTCTCAAACTGATGCCCGCTTAGCTTCTCCATGGCTCTGAAATGCAGTAGGGGCAAGAGAGCTGTGTTAGAGACATCACAGAGGGCCTCTTGGCTGACTCAGTTCATTCATTCTGGTTTATGAAGTGCCGGGGTGTCCTGCCAGGCACTGAGAATGCAGTGGTAAAGAGACACAGACCCTGTCTCTGTCTCTCAGAGCACATAGTGGGTGATTAAATAAGCAGTCACAGAGTTCTGCATTCTGCTGTGATTCATCCCTGTCGTCCCCCCCACCCCGCTGAACTCTTGCACTTGTGCGCATTATGCACCTATTAAACAATCAACTATAGGAGATGAATCAACATTTACAAAAAGCCACAGTGCGAAGGGACAGAGAAGCCATCTGGTTGGAAGCAGGGCAGGTAGGGTGGAAATGGTGAGGGATGACAAATTACAGGGATTATAACCAAGATGATGAAGCAAGATGTGTTGAATAGGAATCCAATTTGCTTTGTAAGCATTCACCTAAAACACAACAAAATATTTTTTTTTTAAAAACCTACATAAAATTAAGAAACGACTCGATGGCACATAACAACAACAACATAAAATTAAAACTTTTTTTCTTGTTTTAATCATAACCAGTTTTCTGAAAGAGAACTCCCACACTCATGCTCTTGAGTCAGAAACAACTTAGAGGTGACCCCTCCTGGGGCTTCTGAGGCTGTAAATCACAGGATTTATCATCTTTCTCCCAAAAAGCCACTGGTGGATTCAAACCTCCAGAGAGATCGGGCTAACAGCGCACCTCCCTACAGACTATACCATCAGAGCTTCATTCTTAAAACAGGAAGAGACACAGTACATACAAAATCATCCTAATCCATTTCTTTTTAAGTATATTGTTTATGAAGGGAAATTAATAGTACACAAAGCATTTGCTAAACTTTTTTCAAAAGATAAAAGTCCAAGCATTTTTCCATGCCATTAAATATTCTGCAGTCAAATTTTTAACTGATGCATTATAATTCCATTTCGTTTACTATCATTTTTGCAACTGACTTTTTTCTTTTTTTAAATTATTAATTTTAATAGACATTTACAGAGGTTTTGGATTTCCATTCATTCATTGCCGCACTTTTCTCCCTGCCCACCCCCGCCGAAGAGAAAAAGAAAAAAATATTCCTTCATTAGTATACAATTCCCACATCCCTTCCCCCCCCACCCCGAGTACACTTCTCTATGAAACCTTAATTCTGGATTCCTGTGCTAACCATAATACTCAATCATATATCACTTCTAATCTGTTCCTTCCCTCATCTGTTTCAATACAATATACATAATTTATCCCGTTTTTTCTGTCATACCCCAACCCTGATGTGCAACTGACTTTCTATTGTTAGGTTTCTATGCTGCACTAGTCTTTGACTTTCACACAGCAACTCTGTACATGGAATAAATTCCTCCTGGAATTGGGTGGTGATAAGAGTACAGTCCTCAGGAAGACCTCACCATGTCAATCCTTCAACAGTTCAACAGAGCATCCAGAACTTCCTTGAATCCTCAAAAGCACAAAGCATTGTTGCTGTTAAATATTTAGCAACCTCATAAGGGATGAATTATATCCTACTGGTACTTGGAATATTCCACGGACTGCCAAAAGAACAAACAGTTATGTTTTGGAGAAGGTGCAGCCAGAGGGCTCCTTGCAGGCAAAGAAGATGCAGCTTCATCTCACATACTTTGGGCGTGCTGCTGGGAGAGGCTATTCCTTGGAGAGGGATACCATGTCTGGGAAGGTGGAGGCATGGCGATGGAGAGAAAGACCCTTGACCAGGTGGACTGACACAATGACTGCCACAATGCGCTTGAGTGCCAGAGAATTGTGACAATGGCACAGGATAAGACAGCGTTCAGACCTGTTGTTCACGGGTCACTATTAGTCAGACTCACTGGCATCTAACAGCACCACCACCGTACTTGGAAGGGTAGAGAGTCAGCAAAAGAGGGGAAGATCTTCAACAAGACGGACCAACACAGTATTAGCAGCAATGCACTCCAGTACATCAGAGTTGATGAGGATGACACAGGACAAAGCACAGTTCAGATCTATTGTTTATGGGTTTTCTATGAGTTGTAATAGACTCAATGGCACCTATTATTACCTATCATTACCTATTTTTGGCAGAATTAATCTAATTCCACTGAGCAGATGATGACTGGAATTGTTTATTATTATTAACAAAAGATGGGAGATGTGGGAAGCAACACCCTCAAACCTCAGTCTGGCAATTGCTGTTGTGTGCTGTTGAGTCAGAACCAACCCACAACTGACTCTCCAGCAGGTTTTCAGAGGTTGTAGACTGCCTATCCTTTTCCAGTGAAGCAACTGGTGGATTCAAAACAGGTGTCTCTGCAATTGCTGTCTGATAATAATCAGGTTTAAAACTGTCATTGGAGTAATGCAGACAAAGGGACTAGGAAGGGAACAGAGGTAGGAAAGGCAAGTACCCAAGCCAGGTGTTCTCTGACCAACTGTTCCAATGAATTTGGACGCTGCTGAAGTGGACTTCCCTCTTCATACCACAGAGAAGAGAAGCTAACATTTCAGCACCCACTCAGTAAGTGCAGAGAGAAAGAGGCTTCTTTTTTTTCCAATTTGCTATCTTTTATCAATTCTGATTTGAGCAATAATTTACAAAGTATGGTTTATAAGATATTTTTTAAGGTGTCTCCTAAAAGAGAGGCATTTTTTAAATCAAATACATTTGAGGAACGCTGTATCTTATAACCTTCTTTATAGACATTCACAGCATATACTAGAGTACTAAAGACTTCTTACTGTCCTATAATAAAACTAGTTTAAATTTTTTTTTAACTAAACAGTGGGGAAGCTTCAGGCAAAAACAGCCCAAGTGGCTGGCAGAAATGAGTCTAAGGGACACAGTGTCACAAAACTAGTGTCCTCTTCTCCTGATCATGTCAAGACATACCTTCTCCCTCAGCTTGGATACCAAGGTTCAGTGTCACTGAGGTAAAACCAGTAAACCAGTTGAAGTAGTCTGTTCTGACTCCTGGTGGCCCCACGAGTGTCAGACTGGCACCGGGATCCACAGGGTTCTTAATGGCAGACTTCTTGAAAAAGTAGTAGATGGTCAGGCCTTTCTTCTGCAACGTCCTGGGCGGAGTTGAACCACTAAACTTTCAGTTAGCAGCTGAGTGTGTGGCTTGCATAACCCAGAAAAAGTCTCTGCATGATTAATAAGCATCTGCTCTGGATGGATGCCCACTGATGTATCAACGATCTGCATCTCAGTAAAGGTTTGTAAACACAAGGTTCAATGGATGGAATTCGAAGACGAAAACAAAATAAACAGAAATGGAAACAAACAGATCCACTTACATTTTTGCTTCTTCTCTTGTTGCATATGTGACATTGACAACTGCAGTTTCTGTGTCTGTGTTGACTAGGAAGAAGCAAAAATTACATGGTCATAGAAAAAAACCTGTCCCACTCTGGCTAAATGCAAACAGAGTAACTTTAGGGAGGGGGAAATAACAAAACCCATCACCCAAATTCTGTAGTTATTTCAAACTTGATCTCTACCCAATGGCACACCAAGGTCAAATGCACAAACATAATGCAGTTATCTTTTTTATTTTATAAGCAATCTTGCATGTTGTGTACATTTTATATTCAGTTTTAATGCCTACATAAAATTGCACTGAGTAAATGTACCATGATTTTCCTATCATTCCCCAATTCCTACTCCTCCCTGGGAGGCAAATACGCTGTTTCCTGTATCTTACTATTACAAAGCTCACTCTCTGTCAAGAGTTAGTTTGTTGGCATCAAGGAGCAGGTGAGCTTCTACCAGCATCCCAAACTGTAAATGACAATGGGTCGCCCATCTTTCTCGTGAGGAGCCATTGGTGGATTCGGACCAGCAGAGAAGCATGGCCTCTGGGTTACCAGCCCAACACCCTATGGATGCAGTCACCTGCACTAGTGCTGCTAAAAATCACCTTTGAAACACAGACATTCATTAATTATGTGCTACTTTCAATTATTTCTTTAGGTTGAAATCACAGAAGACAAATACCAAGGTAAATGAACATGATGCTTTCATATATATTTTCAGATTGCCCTCCCAGACATATATATCAATTTATTGTACTATCAATATATAAGGGATCTTTGGTGGTTTAGTGGTAAGGAGTTGTGCTGCTAACCCAGAAGCATGTGGTTCGAATCCACCAGCAGCTCTACGGGACAAAGATGGGTAATCTCCTCCCATGCAATTTACTGTCTTTAAAAAGCCCCTGAAGAGTCAGCTATGAGTCAGTTCTGACTCGACAGCACCTAACAAGAAACAATAGCAATATTCAATGCACAGGCTGCAATTTTTATAGTTTACATGGTGACCTAGTACTAAGAAACTGTGCTGCAATCCCAAAGGCCCAGAGTTCGAATCCTCCAGCTGCTCCCAGGAGAAGGATGGGCAATCTCCTCCCATGCTATTAAATGCCTCTGAAAACCCACTAGAAGATCAGCTACGGATTGGTTCTGACTCGATGGCACACAACAAGAAGAAAATTGTTGTCACATGCTGAAAGGCTGATTTTCAACACCTAGTGACCCATGTGAGAGTTAACTGCCCCACAGGGTTTTCTGGCTTTGATCTTTGCAGAAGCAGATGATCACTGGTATTTCTCTTGTGGAGCTGCTGAGCGAGACTGAATCATCAATCAGTCAAGTGCTTAAGTAGCATATTTAAGTTGCTCCTTAAATACTTATGTTAGGTATCACTAACTTGGATTTGACTCATAGATGACCCTCCAAATGGTTTTCAGAGGCAGTAAATCACACAGTAGGAGATGCTTTTAGGTTGGCAGCTCAACGGCTTCCCACTAAGCCCCAGAGCTCCCTTTTAAATAATTGTTTTGTACCACAGAGCTGGAATCAACTCATAGCTGACCCTCCAGTGGGTTTTCAGAAGCTTTAAATCACATGGAAAGAGTCTACCCATCTTTCTACCATGGAGAAACTGGTGGATTCGAATTGCCTGCCTTATGGTTGACAGTGCAATTTCTTACCACTAGGATACCAGGGCCCTCATCAAACAATTAAGAGATAAAGCAATAAAATGGGTATTTTGGTTTTAATTCATTCACTCATTAATGATTCACTGAATTGTTTCTGGTTTTAAACGCCTGGATTATATGAGTTAATTCTGGGAACAGTGTACAAAAAAGAAATAAACCTGAGGCCTCTAACTAGCTTGGCTAAGGAAAGAATACAAATATATGGCTAATAAAGGATGACTCTTGTGCGGTGTCTTATCTTAGTCCAATACTGCTTGTCTCTTCTTCCTAAGTCAGGAATTTAAAGTAACTTCAGAGGGTAAGGGAAAATATTCTCCATCCAAGTCAGTGAAAGTAAAACAAAATTATATGCTTTCCCAGAATAAGCAAAAGGAACTAAGTTCAATCTCCCTGCTAGGATAATTAAGCTGTTGGGAGAGTAGGAGTTAAAAACAGTAAATTAAGGTTACCTCAACAAATAGTGATGAAAATGCTTTCCAATGTAATAATAAAAACTCTGTAATGCATGGATTTTGCTTCAGTCTACGATTCCTCTTCCACCAATCCTGATGCCACAATTCTCCTCATAGAGCCCAGCCTCTTGGATAATCTGCTCTGCATACATGTTGAAAAGGTATGGAGACAGGATGCA